CAATTTTTTACCAATATCATTGCAAACTGCTCTGCCAAAATTATATATTATTAAAAAGAAATATCTTTAAAAATTCAATCAAGTTTATTTTCTACAAAAAAAAAAGAAACAAAAATAAAAAAGAGCGTGAAAAATTAATAGAAAAATATTGCAAAAGCAAGCCTAATCACTCTATTTTCTACATATGAATATTTTTTTGTTTCCAACTGCAGCAATTACTGACTTGCTTTAGAGTTTGTTGCCTTTGAATTATTATTTTCTTATCCATTTCAAAAATTACATTTTATTTGAAACTTTTTTTTTTCAAATTCTACTTAAATCTAAATTTTCAAATTTCACGCCTGAAATATCAACAATTCTCTTTCAGTATTGCACATAATAAAATTTACTCTCAAAATGAAGTAATTTTCATCCTGATATGCTTTTATATATACAATGTAGCAGCTAAAAATATCTGCTACAATGCATAAAAAATATTTGAAAATCAAAAACTTTAAATATTTACACTGTAATAAAATTACAATTTTAATCATTAATAATATAGATGCAAAAAATATATATTGCATTATCAAAACTGTTATAGAAATAAATAAATAAATAAATTTTTTTTTGTGTTCGAGTAAGTAAAAAGAACAAACAAACAAACAAAAAGAATTACTTTCTATTTGGCTTGAAATGCAAACTTAAAAAGCTTTTGCTTTTATAGACTTAAATCGTCAAGGTAATACGTTACTTCATATTTCTGAAAATAAGAGCAGATTTTTCATTATAATAATTGCTTGATTCAATTCAACAACGTAATAATGAATCTAGTTATTTTATTTTGCATCATAATGAAATTTGCATTGGTACAAAAAAAATTAGATATATTTATTAATTAAAATTAATATTTGCTATAAAATTGCATTGTATTCATATAAAATGTTATTGCATAAAATATTTAAATCTATATTTATATCTATTTATCTATTTATTTACATATATTATAAAAAAAGTTCAAAATGAGAATGAATTATTTTAAAAAGTTTTTTCGAAAGATATAATTCTATTTCAAAAAATTACGAAGCAAAAAAATTTGAAATCTTAAAAAGTTCAATATTTTTAAATTATTTTTTCAGAATTTTTATTGTTTCAGCAAAATTTTTGTAAAATTTTTAATAAGATTTAAAAGTTTATCAAAAATATGTAATAGTATATTTCAAAGATTATTTGGTAAAGAAAAATTTCATCTTGAATATTGCTTGCCAGCTAAAATCAGCATCAGTATTTGCAATCAAGCATTCATTCAAGTAGTTAGCCATATTTATGTCTTTCCTGAAAAAACAAACTATAATTAATTCCTACTTTTTCCATTTCCTATTCCTCTTATCTTTTCGAATTTTATTTCATTTTATTTGATCTTAGTTCGTTTTATTTCAATTCTATGCAATAAAATGAGATTATTTACTCTCGTTTAATTTTTATTTTAGTCTTTTTTATCATACAAAATTAATAGAAAAAATGAATCATATAAATAACAAGTTATTGGCATTTTTTTTTTTTTGCTAAAATTTTTAATAATAAACTTTGATAAAAATTAACAAAAAATTTTTTATTAAACTTAGTATTTAATTTATTTTTTCTTGACTTTTATTTTATTTTGTTAATGTAATAATAAAAAAAGTTTTACTGATATATCTGGAAATAATTATACATCGTAATCAATTGATATGCATGCATCTTTATTTGCTCACTTTTGTTTTTCTGGTTTATAATTAAAGTAATAAAATATACTTTAGCAAATGGCAGTTTTTAGCATTTTTATATTAAAATATTTACTTAAGTGATAGCTTGCAAAAAACTATCAAAATTAACAATAAAAACTTCAAAAATTATCTTTGAATCAATTAAAATGAAGTAAGTAATTGATGGAATAATTGAGTAGCCAATTTCATGACTAATTAATAAATGGAAATGTGTTCTTCTTTACTAATATCAGTGCAAATCTTATTATTATTGTTATTCATATTTGGAACATTGCAAACAAGCAATTTTATCATTTGCAATCAGTCATTTTTCAGCTTTTCTATCAATAATCTCATAATCAATATCATATAGTTATCAAATATATAACTTTTTATTAAACTTGAAATTTTTGTCTTTTTTGAAAATTGTTTCTTGCAGTAATTGTAAACTCCCATGTTTTATCACAATTTTAGCTTTAGTTTTACTGAAAATTTCAAAATTGACTTAATAAATTTGTTTGCAAAAAGAAAAGAAACAACGATGACTACTGCAATGCATTGAATAAATAAATAAACAAAGTACTAAAAACACAGATAGATAATTAATTCTTAACATTAATTATAAATTGCTGTGCTAAAATAGTACATCTTTAATTCATTTTAAAACTTATAGGTAATTACTCTCTTATAAAGATATCTTGGAAATTTAATTTTCACTGCAAAATAAAACGCAATCGTGCATAAATGATCACATAAAGGTTGGCTCAACTGTATGAATTTGGAAGAATTGTGTTATCATTTAATTGCAGAAAAAATGAAAAATATAATCAAATATTTTCAAACTGGGCGAATACTCAATAGTTAATACTTCATACTTACTTATGATAATAATAATAATAATAATAATAATAATAATAAAATTCAGTGCAAAATATTAGTATGGAAGTTAAAGCAGAATAAGTAGGAATCAAAAAAAAAATTCTTGTTATAAATTGTTATGTGACATCAAATTTTTATCAGTAGTACAATTCACTAACTGCAAGTATTATTTATCTGTATTTTGCAATTATTTTTTGTATTATCAATGATATCATTATTACGGTCAATCATTGAGAACTATGATTGCAGTTCGTTGTGCAAAATTAGAACAGCGAATAGTTTTGTCACTATTATCTTCATCAGTTATCATTAATAATAATAATAATAGTAATAATAATGTTTTGTAGTAATGAAAATGGGGCCAGATTGATATTATATAAAGGGAACGATTGATTTTTACCGATGATTTCAAAGTTGGCGGCTGTTTAATTCATCGTCTGTAAGTTGAATTTATCACAAATTTTTAAATTAATATAAAATCAAACACTTTTGTAATTTTTATAAGATAGATATTTATTAATTTTAGTGGTAATTGGATCAAAAAAAAAGTATTTTGATATTTTTGGGTAATATAATTATATAAAAAGCAAATACTTTTGAAATTATTATTGAAATATATTGAAATATTGCTTTGTTATGATGAGATTTTCTCAATTAAAGTATTTTTAAACTTAGTTTAGTCAAATATTTAAGTAAAAAAACGCTAGTATTTCTATCTTTTGATTAATGACTTATTGCTTGTGTCTTTATCTTCAACTCAAAGCAGTATTAATAAGGATAGCATTAATTTGTCATCTTTAAATACATATTTAAACGAATTTCTGTACATTTTAGGCAAACTTTTTTTCTCTTTTGTGCATTTTCGTAAAATTTTTTTTTTGAAAAATTACCTGAAATGATTTCCTTTTTTAAATGCTATAAAAATAAATCAAAGTATTAAATAAATGCAGAAGATAAGAGTAAAAAACATTCAAAAATTGCTCATTTCATTGCAGTCATCAATTCGTTTTTGTTTTATATTAATATCATTTAAAGTAAACAAAAATATGGTTATAAGAGATTTATAAATTGCAAAATATTATGCATTATTAAGCAATTACTTACTTTTTTATTTATGATCAGATATGAAAATATAGCTTAGATTAGAAAGTTTTCCAAAATGTTTGTTGAAATTAACTCTATCAGTTTCCATGATCAGTGAAACAAAGCAGTTAAATTATTCAATCTCATAGCTACTATTTTTTGCTATAGAAAAAGTTGATTTTAATTTTAATTAAAATTTTAATAATTCATTTCAATCAAAGTCACCTTAACTTTTTCAATTTTTAAATTTTGACAATGTACACCACCACTGCGACTACACACTAAGCGTAGTAAAAACATTCTAACAACTTAGTTTTTTTCAGCAAAAATTCTCTTTTTTGATTGCGTATTTGTTTTTAAACAATTTAAGCTCTTGGCTTTTTTCTATTTCATTCCAGTAATTTTTCCAAGTTTGTTTACTTAAATATATCTTTAAAATGCTTAAATATTTGCTTTACTTACTGCAATATCATTAACAAAAAGTTGATTTTCACAAATTTACTTGTCATTTTGCATTAAAAAAATTTACAGTATTAATTTATACTCTGTTTGTAAGTGCAGCAAATGCATCATAATTTGTATTAAAAATCATGAAGTTATTGGAATTTGAATGTTAAAACTTAACTTCAAATTATTTTCAAAAAAGAAATTATTACTTAAAGACTTAAAAGATGTAAAGCTGTATAGTAATTACTTGGTATTTTGCTATGAATTGTGAATTTTTATAAAATTAATTCATACCAAATGATTCAACAAATCGTATTCTTTAGATAATTGTTTTCATAAGTTTGAGAGTACAGTTATAAAAAATTGAGAAAAATAAAATAATATTTGGAATAGATATGGACTTGGAAATATAAAATAACATGCAAAAAATAGAAATTAGAATCATTTTTTGGCTTACTACCAAAAAAAAAAATGCAAATAGAATAAGCAGAAAGATTCTTAAATTCTGCACTATTTTGCTTTTTGTTGCTTAACTCAATATTGAAAGAAATTCCAGCTACTGCTTTAAATAAATTAAAAAATCGTAACAACATTGCAAGTACTTTGCATTATAAATCAAAAATTCCCAAACTTAGCTTTATCCAAGAAAGTACGAGATCTTTAGAAATGAAAATTAACTTCAAATTTTATTACATTAAGATAATTTAACTTTATGAGAAGGGTTGCCATTTAAAATGCACAAATTTTTTAAACAAGTAGACTTATCGATAGCATAATTAATTAATATAACTTATCAATTTTACATATTATTTTTGATGTCATTCAGTTATTACTAATTGTACTATCAATGATATGTCAAATTCTAGAATGGTTGCAGTCATCTTCCAGTTTTTATATGTACTTATGGTTTCTGTTGAAAATATCATGGGAGCAACTTGTGGTTCATCTGGTATTCCATTTCGACTTGAAGTATTGCCTAATGGTCAATTGGTTTTGGGATGTGCGAGTCCATCGTGCTTTGGTGGTGAATTAGGTGGCCGATCAGTTATGCATGATAGTAGATTTGAAGTAAGTTTTGTTAACCTTTTGTTTTGGTTTTAGAGAATTTAAATTATTATTCTTCTTTTTAATTTTTCAAAATTATTCAGTTTAATTTTAAATATTAAAGAACAAAATTTTTTTTATAGCAAGTTTTAGCAATACAAATGATTTTTAAGGAAGATGAAGATGGGGAAGATGGATTTTTTCGAGAAGGTGACTTGAAAAAACCAAAAAGACGACACCGAAATGCACCAGCTGAATTAGCAGAATGTCCACAAATATTTACTTTAGAATCATGTCCAGCATCTGATTCTTGGGTTGGAGGAATAAAAATTGAAGAAAGCGGCAAGTTCGTTTTTAATTTTTTTTTCAATAAAAAAATCTACTTACTTTTTTTCACCATGCTTTTATTTGATAATTGAAGTTTTTTTTTTTTTACTTTCCGTTTTACTTAGATTTTCAAAAATGAAAAGTTAACTTTGTATATGTTAAGCTTTTACAAAGAATAACTTAGATCCCTTAAAATGAACTTGATTATTTACTGAGATTTATTCAAATTCATCATCAATGTCATGTCTTATAGGTTAAAGGTACAATGCTGCACTTATGAAGGTCTCAAATTTGCGACAGAAATGGGCAAACCAGTAGTGCACGCTGGCGAAGTTTTCTCTGGTGGTGAAGTAATACGTGATGGACGACAAACTGGATTCGATCTTATTAGCAATATAAAGCAAATACGAGAAACTAGAAATGCGAAGTATGTTTTGATATTTTAAATTAACTTTTCAATTTCAACTATTTACTCATCATATTTTTAAAAAAATGCTATTCATCAAATCATTCTATTCAGGCCTTCATATGAATTAACAGTCTCACGATTGAGTTGTATACCAGATCCACCAGAAACAACAAATTATGGTAATATTATTAAAATTTTATAAATTTCAGTCAATTTTAGCAATTTATTTCTCAATAATACAAAACTTTTACAGTTGATCTTAATGCACAGGCTGATATTGCTCGTATAATATATGATAAAGTAAGAGATGGTGATGAAGTGAGTGGTACTAAAACTGATCAAGTTGTCCATCAGGTTAGTATTATGAATTAAACATATAATATTGGTACAGGCATTATTGTTATGAAGAATTGAGCAAAAACCTAATTTTCAGTGGAAAAAATTTTAGTTTAGAAATGAGTAATAATCTTATTAATTGTACTGAATACAGAGAAGAAATTAAACAGGAAATATAGAATAGTTCCAAATCTAAAATTTGTATCAATCAAATTTCTCGATAACGTTCATAATTCAAAACATTTTCAATAGTAACAGATTTTTAGATTTACAAAAAATGCATGACACAACAATTGATAACTTTCATTACTGATTATATGCTTTTTAACGTGTAACTTACTTTGCTCTTTTTAATTTAATTTAATTTTTCAACTTATTGCGAGTGAATTTTGTAGGTTATTGATCCACCATACCGAGATACAGTTTTGCAACAAAATGTTGTTGAAGAACAGCAAGTACCGGAATTTGAACAATATCAGGTGGTTGATCATCCAGTTAATGTTGTCGAAGAGGTAAAAATTTTTCGTATTGCTCTTAGATAATTAATTTTTAATTTTATGAAATATAAAATGAGTAATTGGCTTGGATTGATCTAATAATATTTGCAGTTCATCTTATCTTATGAATAAACGTTAATTCGATGCATTAAAATAATTATTTATTTTTCAAAACTGACAGCATTAAATGTTTCTTTTGTATTTTTGTTCCCCTAGCAGCAAGTATATCAACAACCTCCGGTAATCCAACCCTCACCTGTCTATTATCCTGTTGCTTATCAATATCGTCGTTGTTTTACTGGTGACACGGAAATTGTCACTTCAGTAGGATTAAAAACTATGAAAGATTTGCAAATTGGTGATTTTGTACTCACTAAAGAAGACAATTCAGTAAGCAAAAATTGTAATACTTAATTTTAATCATTTTCGTATTTTTCTTGTAAATGGAAATTTTAAAAAATATTAATTTTTAATTTAATTCACACATACTTGAAATTATGTGAAAAAAATATTAGTTACTTTTAAGGTACGTTACACAATTGTAAAGTCATTTTTGCACCGTTTACCAAATGAAAAAACGGATTTCATACGTTTAGAATTATCAGATGGAAATATTTTGAAAATTACACCTTACCATTTCATTTATCGTACACAATGTAATAGTAATCGACTGATAACACAAATGATTTACGCAAAGGAGCTACAAGAAGGCGATTGTTTATTTACGACAAATAGTACGCAAGGTTATTAAGCTCTCAGTGAGAGTTAAATTTTAATTGCTTATATTAACTATTATACCAAAATTTAACTGAAAAGGTTAGCATCTGAGAATGATATTTTGGAAATATTTAGAAGTGATCAATCATATTATCAATGGTTGTTTTTTTTTTTGTGACTTAAAATAGTATTCAGGTCAAAATCAAGCTTACTTACTATCTAAAGGAATGATTACTGAAACTGGTGCATATGCTCCATTAACGGAATCAGGTGATATTATTGCCAACAATATTTATACATCATGTCATGGTCATATTCGGTATGTTGTAATTTCTAAACAAACTACCAGTTTAATTAAAAATTTCAAATATTTTGCAGCAAAAAACTACACAAAAATTAGAATAGTGCAAATTAATAAATAATCTTATGATTTCACTTCAAAGCGGATATAGAAAGCTTTAAAAGAAAACTTAAATTTGCATATCATTTACAGAAAAAACACTTGTAGTAATTGCAACTCAATTATATAAACTGATTTTTTGATAAGTTTTTGACATTCTTAAAGTGAGTGATTGTGTAATTTAGATCAAGCCATTTAGCACACACTTTTTTCTACTGGATACAAATAATACAACAGTGGTTTTTTGGAAATAACTGGCAAGAAAAAATTGATCTTCCATTTGGGACGGATTTCTTCATTAGTATTCTGGACGATATCGTTCCATCCTCTTAATTTCAACCTTATTTCATATTTATTAATTTAGTTTGAGAGAGGTGATTTTTATGTTAATCAGTTAATTATAATTTTGATTCGAGAAAGTCAAATAAACTTACTGACTAAATGAATGTTCATTAAGACAAAAACTTGAATCAGTGCCTTTGCAATTTTAATATTTTTAAAATATGCTTAGCAAGGTTGAATTGAAATAAATTTCACAGCTTAGCGTTGTTATCATTACTTTTATAGCATATCTGAAGCAGTTCGTGCACATTTGCTCAATGACATTTGACTTTGATTATTCGTTCTTTTAGCTGTTAATTATTAGCTTATTTGAATGTTACGAATTTCTTGCAGTTGATACTTCCAAGTAAGTCCTGAAATTTTTTGCTACTGTATTCTCTTTAGTATGATGAATTTCTGTGACTTTGTCACTTCTTATTCACAATCATTATTGATATTGCGAGTGAACTATGTCTCAAATTGTAAGTATAAATCTAAAAGGCAATTTGGAAAAAAATTAGTAAAATATTAAAGTTTTGAATATTGCAAGTATAATCTATTCTTTACCTTATGCTTTAATGAAAGGTGTCAAGTCAGTGAAACAGAACAAACTTTATGCAAAATATAACTTGCAGAAGTCAAATTTACATTTTATAAAGATAAGTAATTAATACAAGAAAGCATGTAGCAATCTACAAATTTTCCAGTAGTAATTTGCATAACTGTTATTTGAAGCACAATAAATTATTGTATTTGATATTTTTTCATCAGTCACAGAAAATTAGATCTCCTTCTTGAGCTACAAACTTCAAAAAGTGATGTGAAATAACGTGAAAGCCCACTATCTAGTATAAAATGCAAAGTAAAATTTATCCTTTCAAATGATAAAATGAATCTTCTAGAAAGAAACACCACGAATAAAACTTTTGATAGAGTTATAGAGTAGCTTTACTCGTTCAACAGACTGACCTACTGAGTATAATTTAACATTGATTAAATATTATCCAAGTCAAAAATCAATCAAAAATAACTAAGAAGGTAAAAAAAATCTTCAGTGGTACCATTTTATAAATTGAACGATTTTTATACAAGCATACGATCTACAATCGAGTGATACCAAGAATTTGAAATACTTGCCAAAGCAATGAAAATTAATTAAAACTTTTGACTGAATAAAATGAAAATAAATAAAAAATTGGACATAAAATCACAATTGTTACTGACTAACTTAACGTCAAATGAAAAAAAGAATTAAAAAATAAGCAAGCAAATTTCATGCAGTACTTTATTCATAATTATTCACGAAAGATGATGATTAGCTGTACATAAATATAATAAAAAAAAAATTAATAATCAACTTACAATAATACACTAAGTTTGTAATATAAAATGATGTATAATCAAAATTCACATCATCTTTACCTTTATTGTTTGTAATTTAGTGCATCAGACTGCGTCACACATAGAAATCGAACGATCCACAGAAGGAAAATCAAATATCGGTACAGGATTGGAACGTTCAGTTATAACAGGGGTTGAAACTGCTGCACAATGGAGCGAGCCATTTATATGAATCTTGTCTTTAGTAGATTGCAGATGACGAACAAAATCGTTGTAATTCATATCTAACGTATTACCTGATATCGTACTTATAGGTCTCTCACGCAACATAAAATTAATGTCATCTAAAAAATCAACATACTATGAGCAGTAGTAACACACTGATCACACATTTAAAAATTCTGTTCATTTTTGGTTCTATTAAACACTTTTGATATGAAAGAGTTATGAAGTTTAAAGTCGTAGATAAATTTATAGCACTGCGATAAATTGAAATTTACCTGAAGAACTATCATTACTTACAGCTGATGTATTACCTAAATCTTTTCTGAATATCTCATGCATAAGAGTTCGCAAATCAAAACAGAACAATCGCATTTATAATTCTGAAAAGGCAATTTCTCAATCTTTAAAATACAAACAAATTTCTAACTCAAGGAAAAATTATGCTTTCATTTTTATCACTGCATGGCTCAAAGAAAGTGTACCTAAATTAATGAAATATCTTTCAAATTTGAAATACAGTAATTAATACCGCATTTATTAAGACGTATAAAAGAAATTAATGGGGTACTGACTGTCTGAACTTGACCTATGACCGCCTACATTTTTATTTTTTCAAGATATAGAACCTGTTATTTTTATTAGATACTCATTGCCTTCAACTTTGTTCTATTAATGTCATCTTGATTAATTACCAATGTCAATAGCATTTCTTTTATAAGGAATGCTATTGATGGCTCATTATATGACAAAACGTATCATAATAACGATGTGAACATAACGAAAACTTTTTTCTGAATTTCAGATATTAAGTATAGACTCACGGATTTACAACATTCAAAAAATGATATTAAGGATAACCTGGATGACGAATCAAATAGCTACAAACCCAGTTTAGTCAAGTCAGTCAATGACAGTAATACTGATTTTATCACGAATTGTTTTATAAGTTATATATAAATTGAAATTGAAATGAAAATGAAGATAGAAATGGAAACAGATCTCGAGATGAACAGTTTTCTTATTGTTTTGTAATACTGATTTTGGTTTTTAGTAATATAGCAGATGTGTGATCTCTTTTGCTTCTATTTTCTATAATAGAGTAAACAAAAAATTGCAAAAATAGACAACAATGTATACAAACTGTTTCATTTGTCTGCAACTCTGATTTCGACTTAAATTAGGAAGTAGACAATTCTTAAGTGTGAATGTGCAAGTCTGAAAACGAGCCAAGTGGGACTTATTAAATTATGGCAAGTTTTCAGTAAATGATTGAAAATTTTCGTCGACTTTAAACGATGCTAGCACACAAAGCCTAGTCTGGAAACGAGTAGTTAAAGCTCTCTAAGAAAAGACAGAACGATTTACATATAGTAAACTTCTTACTACATATCCAATTTTGATATAAAAGGTTAAAAAAGTTGACGTATTCCGTCATTACCAGTTTCTGAAATAAAAATGGTAAATAATTTTGACCAACAAATGTAGAGAAATGATAATGAAGTATGAATTAAATATTTAAAAAAAAGGCAGTCAGAGAAGAGCTCAACTTTGTGAGAAAGCAGTTTCTGTGATTATTTGACGTGATGTCAAAAGATGAAAAGTATAAGTTCCGTACAAATGCAATGTGCGTTAATGTATTTTTTTAAGAATGTATAAAATGACAAGAATTTAATCACAATTCTTTAATTAATACGTGATATAATAGAATTCACTAATTATTCTATCTCGTTAGTGGCACCTCATTTCCACTGAACAAAAAAGCAGCTTAATCCACAGGGTCGAACTTCATATAGCATGAAATAACAATACAATACTTGCAAAATGTCAATGAAAATCAAATGACTGATTTACCTCTTCTGGAGTATTCGTAATCAAGTGAGGATTGAGAATAATTTCTTCTGCGATTATGTTGAGTAAAATGACGTTACGACAGCAGCAGATACTGTTTCCAGAACCGTGGCGTTTGCTTAAAATGTGTGCTCCGCTGCGCTGATGCAACGATGTTCCGAAAGAAATCAATAAAAGGATAATGCATACTGAGTTTTTCTTCTGTTTCTTCAACATTATCATTATTTAGAAGTATTGTCATTAAGTTATTCGATATGTATTATGACCTCAACGTATTATCACACAGTTTCAAAATGTCGTAGTCAGTCGTTACTGCTGGATATAACACTTGTAGTAGAAAGATGACTGTTTAAAAACATTTGTATTAATCTATTCAATTTTGCAAACTAAGAGAACCATACAAATGGACATGCTGAAGACTAGTTGACGTGATTCAGATTTTCAAATATTTATATTCTTATTACTTAGCTAAACTTAATGCTACATACTATAATTAGGAAAATTTTATGGTTTTAATTGAGTAGTGTTTTTGTAATGTGACTATAAATATTTGAAAATCTGAATGAATTCTGTTGAAAAGAATAATGCATGCAGAAATTTTCAATCCTCTTATTTGCATTATCCTAATGTTGCACTTATAGCAGTCTCAATTTCCTGATACTTCTTCAAACAATAAATCAGTTTTCGAAAATGAGAACCGTTTATTGCTTCACTTTGTATTCCTTCTGGTCTTCCCTCATTTCTGTCTACATTCATTACATCACTTTGAATATTTTCCTCTTCTAACGTTTCATTGTTTGTACATCTCTACTTTATCCATGTAGAACTCTTATATATTTTGTAAAATTAATTCTTAGCATGGTTTCAGTAAATCTATTTTATATAAAAATTTTCTACGCATTTCAACTTCACAACTGAGCAAGCATGACTAATAACGAATAAAAATTTTGGGATTTTATTTCTTACTCTGTGTACAGATAGCGTTATTTTTTCACTTAAAATTTAAAAAATGAATCAACAGTTGACCATTTTTAGGCGGTAATTTTTTTCTTTACTCTAGATTTTTACTGCATAATGCAGACCAGCAAAAAGGATATATGAAGAAGATATGCTAGTAAAAATAGTCAAACAAGTAGGACTAAGTTGGCAATAATTCAGCATTGATAAGTCAAAAAAAATTGGATGAAAAAAATCATGAAATTAAAATAAGTCTATAAGTTACTGATTACCTTTTTATTGTTACTGATGGAAATATAAGATTGTAATATTTTGCATCTATTTGTTTATTCATTATTTAACAATTCACACTTCGATAGCTGTTGCTTTTGCTATTTTTGAAGTATAATTTTTGCACAAGAACTTTTTAAACTTTGGCTTGTTGCATGCAACAAATTTTGACTTATGTATGCAACAAGTTAAATTTGCCTTCTGTATAATTTGTTTGTATTATGAAGAAATGAAAAGATATTTTTGTGAAATCATTTCACGTATATCAAAAATGATTTAGTTTCCTTATATGGTAACATTTTTTCGCTCATTCCCTCACTTTTCTGTAGTGCAATTTTGGATTGTTGTTCGCGCCAATTTTCCCTTACATTATCATTTTCATTTTTGTACATGCTAGGATAGCATGGAAAATAGGAAAACAGAATATATTGTGTTCTTATTTCATTATTTACGAGAAATATTTAGAAGTGTTAGAAGTAAGCATGGGATTTCTCATTTTGATATCTATCAAATCATAACAATGTCATTGCTTTATTATTTTTGAATATTACTTTATTTTTATGCCAAAAATTTCCAAATGCATAGCAATAGTTAACAGATTGTTCTGATTGTTTCCTTTTTAATATATCGTTTTATATTTCTGTGTTCAAACAAGGAGTGATGTGATATAACGAAGCAATCAATAAGTTATCATTCATTATTGATATCACAAAATGGTTCATATCTTTGGCTTGTTTATTGTGGTAATGGACAAAAATTATTCTCTGTAATATATTGTTCTATAATAATATTAAGTAATTCAACTGAAGATGCAACAAGTAGGCGATATTGAAAGTCACAAATTTGCTGCAGCAATGATTGATACACAAATATTGAAACTGTATTTCGATCAGTCCGCTTATCCACTGTCTGACGATTAACTTTACATAATGTTGGTGAAATTTGCATGCATACAAGAAGTCAACTCGATTTCCAGATATTTATTGAAAAAGATGTCAATAAATATTTATGCAATCATTGTATTTATGCCAGGAATTATTCGATCTTATTCGATAATTCCACAGTTATTTGTTAATCGAATACATTGGAGTTGGTTAAGCATTACATTATAATATTTGTCCTTTCATAAATGTAACTGCTGGATTTATAACTTCTTCCGATAGTTAGTTAATCAAGGTTATTTTCCAACTGCTTATTAATCTCTCAATATATCGAGTTATCTAATAATTTTTTGACCGCAAATAGTACACAAAAATTACTATCATTATTAATATTTCAATTATTATTACTATTAATCATTGTTATTATTGCTATAACTAAATGTTGTCTTATGTGTTATAACAGCTTTCACAAATATCGATAGAAGTGCACATTGCAGGTTCGATATGAAATTTTATAGAAGTTATGCTGAAAATGAAGATCTTTATAGTTTTTTTTCTTCACAGAATTTGATAATATAATTGGGATAAATATTGCTTACACATATTTTGGTGTATTAATAAATCTTATAATATTTTATTTTTTTAAAGTATTAATGATTTAATGACATCTGATGTCGCTATTTTAATTTCAATAGTTTGGTTTCTTCAATACAAAACTTACTTTTCAGAGTTGGCTTGTAGCAAGCTTTTGTAGCTTTTGTATCTTTTATTTCTTCAGCAACACTTCTTAACTTTTGTTAATGTGTATAATCACTGGCCTATTGAAAAACACGTATTATCGTTAAAATAATGATGACATCAACTAAAAATTTGGTACTGACAGAAAGATAATGGAAGAAAATGAGCAGAAATATGTCGAAGTAATTAAAATTTATTGCGACGAACTACAATTATCGGTAGCAGCAGAGCTTTTAAATTCCATAACATGATCGGTGCATTGATTCAGGTTGCATGCTGTACAGTTATCGAAATACTGCTTACATTATTAAGATAAACTTACAAAACCTAAGGGGTTTCACAAAATAACTGTATTTCATTTCTTGTTCATTGCCAATGACTATTGTATCATTTTTGTGCATTAATCATTGGCAAGAAATAAGAACTGAGAGAATGAGCATTATTCTGTGCAAAAATTATAAGTAGCTTATAATATGGATTATGTCTTAATGATGTCTCTGCTTAAGCTCAGTCTTTCAAAAAAAAGTTTGGTTTGAATAGAATCGTATTCATTTCAATGCTTAGTAATCAGTTCAATTAACAAAAATTCATTTTTCAAGTTTCAATGATCTCCTTTATGCAGTTTAAAAGTTATAAATTTATTAAGTAACACGTTTAATTAGAAAATATTGCTTTGCTTCTTACTACTTCTATCTGCATATAAGGAAAGTTGTCTGCATGTTGTAAATATTGTACAATCGTTGATATTGTTTTAAATTCAAGCAGTAGCTGTCCATATTTTTTCTACGTTACGTTACGCTTAATGTTTTTGAGCGAGCCTTTAATTAACATCATGCAATCAGCAACAAAATAGCTTGTTTTTTTGCTTTTTATGAATGAGTGATTATTTTTGTGTGACAGACAAGAATTTTCTTTATTCAAATTGAGATGACAAGACGATATGTGACAAGTAGCTTTAGAAAAACACATAAATAGGAAACAATTTTTCGCAGTTATTTAAGAAAAAAAAAATCATATTTAATTATGAATAGAATTTGAGGAAACGAAAGAAATGATTGAGCAATTTAGAAAGTAAATTGAAGGATAAAATGAATGTTAGAGGAAAGGTGCAATCATTACAGCCTCAACTAATAAACCATTTTTACATTAATTATCCTTTTTCTTTGTCTCTGTTTATTGCATTTAATTGTCACGAAAAATTCGAGAAAATTTTTGAATAATTGGAGCTGAGTTATCATTTTGTCTGCTTGTAACTCTACTTGTAGCTAGTGCAATGACCACTTTTCAGTTCTTTCCAAAATCATAAATTTTTTAAACCACTAAATGTCCCACAGTATGTTTGACTATCTTTCTTAGCTAGCATTGTTTGAAAAAGAAGATGAGAAAATGACTATATTCGTTTGGTTTTACACATATGCAAAATTTTTCCTAGCCTTCTAATTTTGATAATGTGCTAAAGGGAAGAAATCAAGAACCTCCTACGGTTTAACATCCATTTATCGCTATTTCGGTATTTATGATTATGTTAGCAGACAATGGTAGTTCGTATTTTGTATTTCTTCAATATCACCGATGTCTGTAATTTGTAATTTACTGCTCCTCTATATTAAATAAAGATATTTGAACTTGTTAATCTTGCAGGTAATGAATATAGCAATTCGAAATTCAGTCTTCTACTGTTTGAAGAAAATCTGAGTTTGAGAGCAAAGAAGATTCGAAAAATACTTAATTTCATGAATGAAATGCGTCGATTAATAACACTAGGAATGTTGTGGATTATTTATCTCATTCATTTATGTTCGGAACAAATAGTGAGTAAGGTAATTAATTGATCATTCAGTTATAGAAAAGTATATTGACATGAGTGAAATAGTGTAAACGATATAGACTTGGAGCTAGATGAAAGCGCATTGGAGACACAAATTTAACGTGGAATTTTAATAAAGTGGAATCAAACAGATGTCGTATATATCTTTAAATAATTAAATCACATCAATATCACATTCAGGTTGAACATCTTTTCCGCTTTGCTGATTCTGGTGTGGGATCGTATTCCGGCACTCTGGCTGTACTTGTCAAATTTATTGTGCTGATCTTTACTGCTTCATCTTCGTGAAATCCATATCCGTCATCGGATCAGATGCCTTCGAGCGTCCTCTTGAGCACTATCGATTGGATAGTGATCTGATATGTTGATTTCCTTCGCGTAGCGTTGATGGAAGTTTGTTACAATGGTATCCCAGATCATCATATACGGAATTACTTTTATCCTGCATTTCATCTCTACTCAAGTTTTTTGAGCCAGTAGATTATATTTTCATTTTTTCTCTCTCGGCTGCTTTGATCATGTCCTGACTAGTGATGCTAACCCCTATCAGGACTACTTTACGTCGCTTCTAGTATCATGTACTTCATGGAAAGTACCGTGTATTTTATGATCTAAAACGATTTTTTCCAAAATATTCATTGACATAATCTTTCTGTATTTCTGAGTTTCACATCTGGTCCAGAACTCTCTGATTTCTTTCGTGCTTACATTGTAGCTAATAGGCTGCTCCTCTATTAGTTTCTGTAAAACCACCTTCTGGACAGCTCAAATCTGCGTTTTAGATTTTAGATGCACACGAGAGTCATAACTTTTTATTTTTTACTTTAATGAACTTTCAGCGTTCTGTCAGCACGCTTAGGGCCTTATGACAGTCAAGTTTGAGAGCAAATATAAGATTGATGCCCCTCATGCACTGCTTGACTCATCTCAGGTCTTTACTTTGAAGTATTTCACTGGTCAAATACTGCGCTATGAGGCTTTTGTGGATGTTGTTCATACTTATCTTTTTTTTCTTTGTTTGCCTTCCACCTCTACGGCTTTTTTCCCGCTTTGTCGTATCTTCACAGCATTGCTGTGCGATCTGGAACTGCTGTGTAAGATCAATCATTGATTTGGAAAGATTCTGTATGGCATATTCACCCACCGCGTGGTTTACCGCTTCAAATAAAAGCGAGTCAACTTTCTCCGAGATTATTTTCCGCTTCCATTTTGTCTGGTCTATATCATGCCCTTGGGGTTCTTGCATCAGTACAAGGTGCTTCTGCTTTACGTCTCAATAAACCTTAGATTTATGTAAACTATTTTCTCACAGTAGGTGTCAAGTATCTTGACACGCTTCGTTGTCCCCTTTAAGAAACGCTTTTGCAAGGATGACGACCTGCATCGCAGCATTCGCTTGCTTTTTCAGTTCTCGAAGGTTAATCGTACACGCGAGCATCTTGCAATACAAGGAACGATACAAGGGCCATCCCCTTTTCGGCATCCTCTGGCCAAGAACTGCCTTCAGCACTTCCCTTCACCAGCTGCTCTGCGGAACCTCGATTCCTCGAATGAGTATTCCGAGCGTGACCATCCTGCTGGCTTCTGTTCCGCTACACTGGCAGAGTGCTCTCTCATTATCAATTTAATTCATTTTTGTACTATTTTCTAGTTGATTGATGAAAATGTGCTTGCTGAATAGTGTAACATGCCAGTACAAATATTATCAATTCAGGTCGAGAGTTATACAAATCCCCAACTTCACAATGGTATAAGAAGAATTACTTTTTCTGTGATTACTCCCAACAATTATCAAACGGCAATAAATAGTATCAAATATAAAATTGGTGAGCTTTTCCACGTGGATCAGGTGGCCGAGTGGTTAAGGCGATGGACTGCTAATCCATTGGGGTTTCCCCGCGTGAGTTCGAATCTCACCCTGATCGATCAAGTTTTTTACTTCAGTATCCTTAATTTTTATTTAGTTTAATTGCATACATTACGTAGTTAGAGAAATCTGAATTTCACTCAATATATCACGTTTATTACAGTGCTTTGATTAAAGAAAAGTGAATAAAATTTACTCAATATTCTTTTCTGATTGGGCACTTCTTTAGCAAGCAATTCAGTTATCAAACTAAGTCATTATATTCTTTCTGATGCACATCTTCAAGCTTAATAAAACACAGCTGGACAAGAAATCGTTCTGCCATCAGTTTTTCAACGCTTTCAAAGGAAATCATCTGTTGATTTCCGTACCTACAACGGTACAGTATCTTTTCAGAATCGGTTTGTTTACGTTCTTTTCAATTATAGATTTAAAACAATATTTATTAATATTTAATTTATATATGAAAATGCGAAAAAATTTTAAGCCTAATACCTGTTCCTGATTCGCTGCATACTTTTTCTTTATCTTTGGCGCAAGTACAGCTTTATTAAATTAAATTTGCCATGGCTTTTATCATTTTTATAATAGTAGTTCAATAATTAACTGAACCCCCTAATTAATTTAATTCATTGAATAATTTTAATTCTATCCAATTCTTTTTGCTGCAGATCCCGTAATAAGTCATTGCATAATGCACAAATTGTTCATTCGCATGTTTTACGCACAACTTCTGACATACCTTTTCCAGGTGCACCTTTAATATGAATATATCAAAAATATGCTAACTCGGTTTTAAAATATACGTTCTCAGAACACTTTTTTCTGGTTTTACTTCCAGAGAAGAATAATTTTTGGAGTGTTGCTGAGGCCAAAAAGGACGGTTCATTCTGGGGACGTGTGGTGCCATTCCCAAGAACGCAAAATGAGAAGAAAAGCACTGCAGTACAGCTCAGGAAAAGTGCTATTGCTACGATTCCTTCTTTAACGCATTTTCAGGTTTCTAGCAAATTTTAACGATATTATTTGCTCAAGTGAAACAATGTGATGCATTGTAAGCAGGACTGCTTTATAATTTAAAAACTTTAGAACAATAAACGATTGATGTAAAATTTGATTGATGATGGACAATAACGTTTAGATTCATTTTTAGCGAACTGCAAGTGGTATGACTTTAATTCCAAATTCCAGTATCAAACGGTCTCGGTATGCCTTTTAATCTTTTCAGTTTCGTTTAGAGACTATATTTTCACTTGTTTTCAAAAATAATTTCTGTACATTTCAAATTAAAAGCTAATTATTATTTAGTCTTACAGTTTTGTACCACAACTTCATCGTATAGGTAATCATGGCAGAAGTCAACAATCTTTTTTGAATAATTATCCGCTGAAAGCTCATAAACTGGGCGTAACACATGAGCCTCTATATTACAATCCATGGGATCCACTGGGGTTGTTTAATAACAAGGTTCACTTTTTATGCCTAAAAAAATAAAGTAATCTTTTCGTAAATTTAGAACAAGCACTTTTTTTCAAAAATTTTTTATTGATATAAAGTTAAGATTTATACATATTTATTGTTTCTGAACAATTTATCTTGGAATACTTTTATATTTCGATTAAAATTACTAAATTAAAACTGATGAGGAGCTAAAACAAGTGTTAAACTATAGAAATATAATGAAGATTACAGTTTTGGCAATCAGTTTTTCCAAGTTTTTTCATTACACAACCACAGTCAATGTCAACTACACCATTACCAGCTCAAAGTAAGCTAAGCTAAGCATATTTCTTTAGCAATGAATTTTTTTCTTTAAAAAATGAAAACGCTACTCTTTCATTGCACATTAGGGTGCAATTTCTGAACAAATTTAAAAATAAGAAATTACATCAAATTTTTGACTTTTTAGAGTTGCAAAAACAATTGAAAGCTGCTACAAAGAAGCATTATCTTTCACCGAACGAGAAACTTGCTCTTTGCTGTCAAAAGAAACGTCTTACATCATCATGTCAGACTCTCTGCAATTACGACACTTTTTCTGATCACACAGTTAGTCACTAAGCTTGAAATTTCAGAATATTTCAGTAGAATGCTGATGAAAAATAGAAAAATGGAATGTCACTAAATGAACAAATGAATACTGAAGAAAGTGTTGTTATGAATCTTGCTAACTTAAAGTAGTGAAGAATATAATAAAATGAATTAGCATGACATATAACTTCAACCTGACTGGAAAAATAAGCATTTTGAAGTTTCAGTTCAACAAAACTTATTTGAAATTGTAAACGTCCAGAAAACACGACTAGTTTCCTTAATTTATTATATAAAATAATAAAATATAAAGATTAGTCTTCTTTTCCGCTTTATTGATTCTGGCGCTGGATCGTATTCCGACATCTGGCTGTATTTGTCCCGTATTCGGATTTGTTGTGCAGATCTCTCTGCTTCATTCTCGCGGAATCCATAGCGGTCATTGAATAAAATGCTTTCGAGCGTCTTCTTGAGCACTATCGATTGGATGTATGCCTCGACGTGATCTGATATACTGATTCCCTTTGCACAGCGTTCATGGAAGTTTGTTACAATACTATCTCAAGTCATCACATATCGAATTATTTTGGCCCTGCATTTTATCCCTGACCCGGGTTTATTAGCCAGTAGATCATATTCTCCTTTTTTCTCGTCTCGACTGCTGTCAACCCTTCTGACTAGTGATGCCAACCTCAATCAGGATTATTTCACGTCGCTTCTTATCATGTATCATGATATCAGGTCGATCCGCTTTTATTCTGATCGCAGTTCTCACTCGCGTATCGACTCTGATCTCAACATTCTCATTCGCGACGACTTCCTTATCAGAATGGCTTTGCAAGCGCGGAAATGCTTTAGACCATACTTCCTACAGAGTCGCAAATGGATGCATTATAAGACCTCATTGTGTCTTCTAGTATAGTCGTATATAACATTTCTTCGCACTGCTTTTCTAGATGTTCCACCATCTTCAGATGTTTTCTACATTGTTGGCACGTACTTTTCTCCGCTCTAAACATATTTCTATCTTGGAGGTTACAGTATCATGCTTTTTCTTTCGGGGTAATGTTTCCGTATCGATGCCATACTAATGAATCGATAATATATATTATATACACATGTATCGTCAAAAAGACATGATTTTCTTGAATAAATTTATTGGCTATTGTTTCTTTTATTCGTTGCAGCTTATAGCAGCTGTATTAACAAATCAATGTCCCGGTAATCAACTCGAGACGGCCTTCAATTGTGCCACGTCTATGGTACGTATGATTTTTTAGCATATAATAAATTATTATAAAATTCAACAATTAAAAGACATAAAGAATAGATAGAGTGATCTATTCTAACATGGCAGATATTAATTAGTGTATTAATAGTTAAAACATATTAATCTTCAAAATCATCTCAATCTACTTTGATTGATAAATTGAAAATAATTTATGTCGCAACAAATGTTGAATCTAGCATTAATTTAGGGTTCAAATTTTAAATGCTTACAGGCAGATCATTCATCTTGTTGCATCAAAAATGGAATAGCAAAATATAATGGTGGACGTTGTATGGTATTTTGTACGACACATCAAGGTAATCCAGGAAATACAATGCAATATATTGATTGCCTTCGAATTTTTAATCGAATCAAAAATTGCTACCAAGAATATCATACAATACATCCCAACCTTTTTGGTGATTTATAACTTCACGCTTTTCTTATGCAGAATATAAATACACGAATTGTCTTCTTTTCCTCTTTTGTTTATTTTATTAGTTATTTATTATTTTATTAGTAGTTACTTATTTATTGTTATTTAAATATTTATTTTCATCATCACCCGTGCCCTCAGAAGAAGATTTCCTTTAGCAATGAGAAGTTAAAATGTGACTGCTTTAAAATGTTCAAAATCCCAAAACTAATTTCACCCATCCATTTCTAGAATATCTAGAAATTTCTTGCCGCAATCTATGCAGTTCTATATATATTCACTTGTTTTAACATTTATAATGTTTGTTTGTTTGTTTTTTGCATTATTTTATCATATATCGTTAGCTCTGTACCAAAATTCATCAAAATATTAGTTCCATACCTTAATTTTTCACTGTTATCTATGGATTCCATGCATTTGATTTACATTCAAACGTAGTTAATTAGCTTTGTGATCTCGATCATTACACATCAAACAAGCTACTAACTAATCTCACTTCACATCCATTATACATCGTTGAGGATTCCTTGAAATACTGAAGGAAAAGAAGCCATTGTTATTGTTGTTCAATGTTTAAAAGAACAATATTCATCACTGACGGACTAATTGCTTCACTGATCATCGCCTCACTTTCTTTTCTATGTTATGCAAGCAAATTTCTTGACGCTTACTTATCAGATTATACGTGTAATCGTAGTTTGAAATTGTTAAAGGAAACTGAAAATCATTTCAGAAAGATACTGGCTGTCTTCTGGTAGCTTCTGTGTTAGTATGTGGTATGTTACATAATTGCAGGAAACAAATCTTATCTCCAAATTATATATGCACTCCTCTACTTACTGAATAGTAATATCTTACACTTCAGATTTGATATTTTTTCTCGACTGAGCTCAAACAAATCTGCACCATAATATAGGTGTGTGTATGCTGGTTGTAGTCTATAGCACAATTCACATATGCAACATTATCTGTACTTATTTTTTAAATTACAAAACCTGCCACGTTTTCTATTTGACATTTCGAAGCAGAATCTTATATTACTGAGACAACCAAAATAAGAAGTAAGCAAGTTTTCGAAACCTGCTCTTATTTTGGTTGCCTCAGTAAAAAGGAACCAAAATACTGTCTTAACTTCGGCAACAAATTTTGTGACACCTGAAAGGAAGACCACTAATTACATGATGCAAAAACGATAATTCAGCTCATTTTTTATCTTGAAATTAGAATAATACAGAATGAGTGAGCTAAAAATAAATATGTGACTTTCATATGAAGCATTTCTTAACCGTAGATTTAGATAACAAAACATGCATACATACATACAAACACACACGTACACCTAGATTACTGTATGAATATTACACACAAAGTCATCATAATAATTGATCACTTCTCTATCTCTTTACGAATCCATCATCTGCTTTAAATTGATTTTTTCAAAAAGGTCAAATTTAGAACGCCTCATACTGGAAAAAGAAAATGTCTTCAATCAGAAGCCTCCAGTACTTGTGTGTGTTTTAATCAGGACATCAATCAATGCACACTATGGTAGTTGCCAGAAAAAAAAGAATTAAGTAAATGCTAGTATCAAGTATCAACAGAGTAGAATAAATGATCAAAAAATTAGCAGTAAAGCAATACAATTTTCTTTTAAATAGTTTTCACGCATCAGACTTCCATATTTCGGATTATTTATCGAGAAACTGTACTGTTTTGATATGCGCTAGATTCACTAAATCACGTAACTTGAATGTAGCTCATACATACATATATAATTTCAGTGAAACTTCACGACAACAAATTTTCTAGGAAAATTAAAAGCATTTGTTATGATGTTCATCTGAAAATATACATGAAAAACGGAGAGCATCAATTACAACTATACAGTACGCAAAGATGAAATTAGTTTATATTTGTAGTCACCGAGTGAGTACACGTGATCGATTTGGAGAAGAGATTATACTGGAAAAAACATGCATTTCCTGGTAAAATGAGGAAAAAATTACATATTAAATTGATTAACTCTCTTTTCTCAAATCGCTCAACAATGTCTATAAAAGCATGAGCGGAATGTATGAGAAAAAAGTAAAGTGATGAATATAGACACAACAGATGTTCATCTGTTGAATGAAAATGAAAATGGAGAAGATAATCATGCGTATCCGAGACTGACATAAACAGAGAATATGAAATCTAGATTACCGCTCATCAATCTTTTGAACAATAAGCAAGTAATTTAGGATACATTTAAGAAATAAAACTATTAGTGATTACAAATTAAGGCTTTTTGCTTTTCAAAGATTCGATTAAAATATTAAGTGACAATATGCAAGATATGATAAGATAGTGTGCGACTGCGAACGTAACAAATGAGCTGAGTGTGAATCAAACAAAAATTGAACAAATAGCTGATAACTGTATGTGAGCAACGATATAAAATGTTGAAAATTTAGCAACTGATAAAAATCACGTTCATTATAGACAGAATCATGAAAATGAAGCAAATCGCCCAATTGTTTCGGTTAAGCATTTGCATAAGTCTCACAAGATTTTTAAGCACATATTAGAAGAAGTACGAATAACTGTCGGAAGTTTGAATGGATTGGATACATTTGTTACTCAATCAATATTAGAAGTTAGTGTAATTGCTAGTAACACGTCATTACGAGAAAGTTTCAATGGATTGGATACATTTGTTACTCAACCAATAATTGAAGTTAATGTAATTGCTAGTAACACAAATCAGCATTACATAATTGTGAACATCATGATTTTCGATATTCGTTTTTTAAAACTTTTTAATACAGAGGCTAATGAACTTCCTTTACTGTATTGCTGTTCACTTCCGTTGGTTTAGCTGATGATGATGGAGTCAAGAGAACAATCGGCTGAGATTGCGACTGTCTACAGTTTAGCATCACATAATTCATCAGCTCTAAATCATCATCATCCCCACTTTCCATCGACTTTTTTGATATTGATAGAATTTTGAAAGTTTGGGAAGTAGCTGGAGTAGAATCAGAAATCTTACTTCTACCTTCATCACCAATAGATATTGCAGCTTGGAACTGCACTGCACAGGACTTCGTCTCAGAACCTGATAAAGAACTTACTTCCGTGTTAATCAATGTGCTGCTTATTAACGTGGAATGATCTGTTCCCTGCTTTTGCTTATCTGAATAAAAAATAGTTACCAAAGTGTAAAAAATATAAAGAAACTAATATTATTATATTCCAAGCGTTTGAATAAATTGCAATAAATTGTATGGATTAGAATTATTTTAATTTTGTAGCATAGATGATGCGTCAAAGGGATAATTTAGAAGGAAAATTTATAGCTAAAATAAAATCATAATATAAGGCAAAAATATGGAATTTTAAAAAGCAAATCGCAAGAGAAAAATAAAACTTTATCTGAAAAACCTTTGATGTCAGAGTGTGAAGAGATCAATTTTTCAGTATGAAGCGGTCCAAAATCGTCATTTGTTAAGGAAAGAGTATTAGTGGCAGCATCGACAAGCTGCAATACTTTGGTATGAGATGGTACGGTTTGTGTAGTAGTACTAACATTCCGATTACTATTTGTCATCGTAAATTTTGTATTTCCATCAGTTAGAGAAGAAACTGAGGGTTGCTGAGGAATTTTAGCTGCTTCAGATGTTCGCTTATCAAAAGATGAGTTACAATTGCAACTAGAAGAAATTGCTGATGCTTCAGTATCATTAACCGTTTCTTCCTTCTTAACCCGATTATTACGCTTGCTACGCTTCGGCCAAACAAACCATTTTGGACTTTCTTTCACTTCTATACGCTGCAATCATTTCTCATTTTCAAATTCTTATATCGGTATTCCAAATGATATTAGTATTGTTCATTACTATCTTTCTATACACACAGTGGAAGATAAACAATTTTTTTCTCTTTTCTGAGTAGACAGTCTATGTAAAGAAAAAAGAATCTCGAGATTTGTTCGAGACTATATAAATATGTAATAAATTCGATGATTCTATCAATTCCTGTAAAGATCATAATTGAAGAAAATGAAATATCTCTGTATACACCATTTTTTTAATTTGAAACATCTTTTATACAGGAACTATTATCAGTAATTATTTCTACGATTTATAATCTAGTACTAAATAATAATTATCTTTGGTATTTTTTTTAATCCTACGATACTCCCCTTTTCGCTTTTGATAAAAATAAGTGGTTGACAGAGAAGATAAGAGAATTGTTGTGAGGGGTCTGCTCACTTAAGCATCTTTCATTCCGCTCAAATATTTCTAGCCCCCTTTTTCACAAGGAACCAACAATTAGTAAACAACAAGGCTGGGGTCAATTGTTGTACCAGTAAATACCACATGACCTTGGACCTATAGCCCTTTCCTTCTCTATCTCTCAAGTACAAAAAGGAGAAGATAGACCAAAAATACCATCACTTCTCTACATCTATCTGTCCCTCCCAACAGCAGCAGAAAATTTGTTCCCTCTTTTAAGATGCCATGAACATAATAATCATAGCAGTGTGGGAAGATCACAGATTATTTTCTTAGTAATTTATAATATTGCAATTCTCAGGGTATGTTCTTAGGTTCATTCTTTGATTACACTGATTGAGGAATATGGATTTATTGAAGAGGTCATATTATTAGCAAAGATTCGTCTACAATTAATACTTGATTAATCCTCATTAATTAATTACCATCAGAGCTAAATTTTCTGTAGAAAGTTTTAATTGTAAACAGCTATATTATTGGCCTGACGAATTTGTCAACTTACTACATTAATGTTTATTGTTTTGATAAACAATTAGTAAAAACACCTATTGTAAATTTTATCATTTCTAAATAATAAGCCGATTTTCTATTCACTATTAGTAATAGTTAAAATTAGATACTGACTAATTTTAAAGTGAATATTGATAGCAGATGAGATATTCTGAAAATTACAGAATTATACCTTCATTGAAGATTAGAAAATATAACTGTTCCTTAATGATACAGTTGCACATGCATGGAAAGTCCTTAATAATATAAATTTTGATAGAGAAACATACTATAATAAATTTGTTCTAATTAAAAATTTATATTTCTTCTTTAGCAAAGTGATCTGAATATTCCTAAAACTTGAATAGTCGAAAATTTTCGACAGACTTTCATTTTCTTTTCAGTTCAGTTTTTCCCTAATCATACTCATCTCCTAATTCTGCGAAACAAATAAGAAACATCTTGTTTCCCTGAAAATGCCTTTTGTACTTCTCGATGTCTATATATAAATGCTCAGTAAGTTAACTTCATTTCTTGTTTCCTCAAAAATCATCGCAAATCACATCATATACATCCATCTCTTCAAACTACGCACTGAAACCGATATTATTAAAAAATGCATATATCCTGTAAAACGTTTACCTTGAAACGAAAATCCCGCTTTGGTCGTGGCAATGTAGCAGCAGAATTTGTGGAACCACCAGGAACTATGATTGTTTTCCATCTGAGATCACCTTCAATCATAACGCTAACATTAGCGCACGATGACGGTCGAACAGTCTCGACACCACGAGAGATCACTGCTTGGATAGTATTGCCATTGTTATTATTACTATCGCTATTGTTGTTATCGCTTATCACATCAGTAGTATTGTAATTGTTGCAAAACGTCATGGCCATACTTACTAGCTATGTCTGTAAATTCTACCTTAATCAAGCCTTTTTGTTTGTCAGCTGCAGTAATTTAGAGTTCAAAATTCATCAGAAACAAATTTAGAAAGCACCCAAACAAATTTGGTTTCATAAAAATACTGACACAAAGCTATATACAATTATGACTGATCTCTTTTTTAATATTTTCTATTATGATATAAACTTACAATAAATAAACCTAATTTTGTGTGAAATTTCATAGTTCAAAGTGATTATGCCACACAAAAAAATGACATTAAACAGTGATTTTCATAAATGGAACAAGAGAGAAGAACTCGAGGGTAGGATCAAAGGTCATTTTCATTTATTGTTATGCAACTAGAACCTCCCTTTTTGATTTGATAGGATGATGGATGAACGAGCAGATCATACTCAAATATTACACATATTTTCGCGCAAAAAAGATTGCTAGTTGTCGAATACAATACCAATTAGTTTTGAATGACATACATACAAAAAATCCCTACCTTCTGAAAATGTAGTAACTATTTATAAGAAGATAAAGACCACGGAAGTTATGCTTAGAAAACGGAAGATTTGTTTCTAGAAGAAATTTTCTTACATTTGAAATAATAAAGATTAAACTATCTTTTGTCCCACACTATTTTTATTATTTTTGAAAATATGAATGTCAAGTGAAGTTATACAAAGATTTATACAATTAACGATCATAATAACTTCTCACGATAAATTTAATACTGTCACTGCTCTTATGACTACAAAAATAATAGTGATGCGATGAGAGCATTAATTTTTTTAAATTATGATTTTGATGGCAAATTGATTGAAAAATTTTAGGAGTATTTAACTGCAACAAAGATAACAATTTTTTATCCATCCAAAAATATGATCAAAAAATTTGAGCTAAGACAATTGACTAATTCATAACTTGACAAAACAGCAATAAGGATTCGCTTCTGTCGAACGTGATAAATACTTCATCTTGCTGAATAAATAATCACAAAGCCTAGCAGATATGATAAGATTAGAATATTAAACAAAATTCTCTGTTACATGATTGTTTATTTAGTTAATTTGAATATGACGTGTATAAGAACTAAAATTGTTGTAATTAGCAACAAAGCAAGAGAATTAGCTAAAAACTTAATACGATTTAAATAATGAAAACACTGAAAATTATTCACCTTTAAATTTTTAAGTGATACTTTAAGCATAAAAGCATTTTAAATTCTAGTTAATCCAAAGCTGGGCAAAAAATGTTTTAAAAAATTGATAAAATTTCTAATGGTAGAAAATTACAAGAAAGAAAAACTGACTGCATTTGATTAAGTAATCATTACTCAAAACTACAGTAGAAAGAAGGATAATGCTTAGACGTCGACTAGACAATACTCCATATATAAACATGATGTTAATTTTATTAAAATTTCATTTATTTTTTAAAACTTATAGTGAATGACAACAGTAAGAAAAGTTAGGAATGCATGCAGCTTACAGCTATAAAGACTTCAATTGTTTTCAGACCGATATATTCATTTTACTATTTACTATTTAAATATAAAATTCTATCTTAAGTTTTTGTTCAACTTAGCAAGAAATCTTCATGCCTCTAATCTTAAATGCCAAGAAATATTAATCAAAAAGATTGGCTGATTATTCAGTTTGATTTAAAAAGTATTATTTGCTTTAAAAAAAATTATCGTTCGTTTAGAGTTTATCAATGTAACAACAATAATATAATCGTTTACTTTGGATTCTAGTCGGTATATAATATATTCAAAAAATTTAGAAGATTGATAGCAGCGATAATGGAATGGAAAGAAACAAGAGAGTGCAATGTTGAATTAGTAATTCAAATTGTTTTGAATACTTGCTGAAAGTAAAATATATTATAAAGCAGTTGATGTAAGACATGTGATGATGATAAATGCTAATGATAAAAAAATAAGGTGAAGAAATTAGTGTTGAATAATTCTAATAATAATAGGAGATAGGTAGTGATGAATTTGTAGAGACAATTGTTGTCTGCAAATTTTTTCACCCTCAAAAGTCGTGCATTCTAAACAAATTCTAATGCTAATGTACATCACTGAAAAAGAATTCCTTCTGCTGTGCTTCTTAATTCTCGACGAAATGATCATCTATTCTACTACTTCTTTTCAGAGTGTGTTTTGGAAAAAATACCTTTTATTTGCATTAGGTGAAATGAAAAAATCACTTGACCAACTATTGATGTCATTTGTGATTAAATCACTACTGATTAATATCAATTCACCTTAAAAACAATATCAACAAATAAAAAGTTGTTACAAGGATTACTGGTAAGCTATATATGGACTACTAAGTACTTTAGAGATCAATAAATTTACAATACTTAGTAAAATATACAAATTAAAATAAATATGAAGTGATAATCGAGTCAATGAAATCAAGTTTGCAACAATAAAATTTATATTATCATTATCATGCATAGTGATAATTGCCAATGATTAAAAGGAGTAGTCACTGTCATTTTTCAACGAGAATATCTAATCATACATAATCTGTCATTTATTACGCAAACATAACTTCAATCAGTTATGCTTGTGAATGCATAACTTGATCGAAGTAATTTTTACACCTTTTCATGCTATCAAAAAATGACAAACAAACTTTGTCATCACTTATGTCATTTAGCTAATCATTCATTCCCTACATCAATAATTATTATCTTACATTTTTTCTACAACTAGAAAGAGAAATGTATCATTTTAGTTCGAAATCAATTTCATAAAAGTTAAAAGTGAAAAAATATTAGTGAAGTAATATGCAGCTATGATAAAAACATAGTGAAAAAAATATAATCTAATGTGATTCAATTTTTGCAATAATTTAATACTGATAAAGACAACAGTTAATTTGCTTTCAGTGTATTATTTCTAATGAATTATAAGACAGAATATTTTCCTAGCATTTTATTCAAAATTCCATATTTAAAAATAGAAAGAGTAACCAATGAATCCGTTAGTTGGCCAAGCATACATACATACAATACAAACAAACTTAAAAAAGAAATTTTTTAAACAAAAATGCATAAAAATTAGCAAAAACTGACTGAACAGGAGTACAGCACATGGTCGAAAAATTCACTTCACAAAAAAAAATGAATAAATTTCGAAAATAATGTAATTTCCTATTTATTGGTTTTATTTGCAGATGAAAATGAGCTTCAAAGCCAGAATTTTTTTCCATTTAAGTTAATTAAGAAATGCATCATTCTTATATCATACTGCAAATTTTTTGATTTACGTCGGATTAATTTAGCAACAACACATTCTTTGCTGTTTTCATCAATATTTTTGTCAGTACAATTTAGTATAATATTTTTAATTAATTACAAGACAGAATATTTTTGCAAGCAACTTATCGATAATTTCACATTAAAAAAAATCGGAATAAATAAATGAAGTAAATAATTCATTTCCCATGTTTTAAAAAACTATTCCTTTTTTCTCAGTCTATTTCTATCTCACATTCCACAAAATGACATAAAATAAGATTTGATATTTTTCTCTTTCATTCAATCATATAATCATTTCCAGAGTTTTGTTTAGTTTAGATTTGAATACTTCGCTAATTATACAAATAATTTTATTAATTTGTAAAGTATATATTGAAATTGAAAGCTATACTTGGAATTTCAACAATCAAAAAATGCATCTGGAATTGAACTATTCGAATATGTATAAGGCAATTTTCATTTATAGAAGTTGATTTTTCACTACGCATTCATTTATGATTAATATGTAAAAGGCAAAAGCAAAGAAAGCAATGAACATTGATTGGTACTTATTGATACTCAAATCCATCATTGTAAATAAAATTTGACCCTATCAACGAAAAAAAAAAAATTTGACCCTATCATAGTACTAAACTTACTCAGCAAGCCAAAAATTAATGACTTACATGTTACTCAAGCATCTTTCAAAGTATTCCAAGCCTGACTGCAACCGTTTTCATGATCTATAAACATGTCGCAAAACTGATATGGATCGATTCTTATAGTTTAGCCACAAATCTACTTTTTGTTTCTAGCATACATAAAAATAAGGTTAGCCTCTTTAAATTTATAATAAAATTCAAAATAAACACTTAATGTACTTATTTAATATAAGTAATAAAAATGTTATTTATGCATTTTAATCATAGACATGTATAATTAATTTAACATTTACAAAGGAATAAATATAAAACTCTGTCTTACTTGTTGACATTATAAATTATTATAAGGTTGACAATTCGAGAAAAGTTAGTATAATTATTTCGATAAGTTGACAAGAAAAATAAATTAATATATGGATAAGTGTAATAAACAGAAATGTCACAAAAACAAATACACTTTTGCAATAATTTGAATATAAATGAGCGGGAAGAATATATACGTTGTTAAATTGAAAATGCCTAGCATCTAATGACTTAATTGCTAAATAGATCAGTATTCAATTCATTTAATGATTCATTAAAATACTTTTAATGGTTGTAATCGTAACCAAATACAAAATAGAAAGCGGTTAATACTCTACAGAAATAAATATATCTGGGATAATATGAATAAATGGTTCAAGTTTTCTCAGCATTATGTGATGGCATGCATCTACTCACTCCAGACAACATAACGATTGAGCCCTGCCTGGCAAACTAGGCCAGACAGTCTGCAACAGGAATGCCTTTGAACCCAAAAAAAGCAATTTATTCATTTTTACACTCCATTCATCCACTTATTTACTCACTTATTTATTTAATTTATTATCTATTCATTTATTCAAAGTTAAACCGTAGCAAACGCCTACGATGCTGCACAATGTTGATGCTAGTATTTGATATTAACCTATTTCTTTTGCACTCTTTTCATACACTTTGCTTTCGAGAATCAGTCACTTGCCTTTTACTCTACCATTAATTATCATACTTATAATAGTGATAATAATCTTTATTCTAACTACTACTATTGATGTACAACTATTGTA